TCACTAAACCATGTCCGACTCTTTTGCAGCCCCATGAACTGTAGCCCACCAGCCTCTTCTGTCTATGGGATTTCCCAAGCAAGTATATTGGACAAGTGTGTATTAGTTGCTCAGTCATGTCTGACTCCTTGCAACCCCACAGACTGTAGCTCACTAGTTTCCTCTGTCCGTGGGATTCTCCAGGCAAGTTACTGGAGTGGGTTGCCATTCCCTTCTCCAGGGGATCTTCCCAACCCAGAGATCAAACTTGGGTGTTTTGCATTGCAGGCAGATTCTCTACCAACTGAGCCACCAGGGAAGCCCAAGAATATTGGAACAGGTTGCCATTTCCTTCTACTTTCACCCTATAATGCTGTATAGAAAGCCAAGATGCAGGGACTTCCCTGGAGGTCCAGTGGTTAAGACTCCAGCTTCCAATGCCGGTGACGTGGGTTCAATCTCTTGTCGGGGAACTAACATCCCAAGTGCCTTGTGGCAACTAAGCCCCTGCACCATGACTAGAGAGAAGCCCTCTAGATGAAATGAAAGATCCCATGTGCCACAACAAAGATGTTGACACAGCCAAATAAACAAATATTTTTTAAAAAGAAAGTCAAGATGCAAAAAAAAAAAAAAGAAACATGCAAACCAAAATATGCATACTTGGGGGAAATTAACAGAATGTCAGAAAAAGCTATCAGTACCGTCTTGACATTTGATAATTCTTCACTAGCCACTAGGTGCACAGGTACAGTTAGTGCTAGAATTTCACTTTGGTCCTCATGGACCCACACTGCCTGGCTCCACAGAGAAGAGTATTTACATCATCACCATGTGGCAAATGTGGCCTCCTCTCTCATTTTAGAATCAACACATGGAGCAATCTGCGGAAAGCTCGATCGTAGTTACAGAGCAAAATGTAGATGCTACAAATGGTCTTTTTAAAAAATATATTTATTTATTTGGCTGCACTGGGTCTTGGTTGCTGCATGGGGGATCTAGTTCCCTGACCAGGGACCAAACCCAGGCCCCAAGCATTGGAAGTGCAGAGTCTTAGCCACTGGGGCCACCAGGGAAGCCCTCAAATGATCTTTGACACCATAAAAGTGATGGCAAAGCTAAATGGAAGATGCAGAGAGAAGATCTGTTAAGGTCTTTTCTGTTTTTTGCAATTCAACATTTTATGTTTTTATTTTTACTGTGGCCAGAACATTGAACATGAGATCTGCCTTCTTAACACATTAAAAACAATTTTTGTTAAGTGGAGTGTGGTTGAATACAAAGCTGTGTTGGTTTCAGGGGTACAGCCAAGTGAATCACTAACACATTTTTAAGTGCACAATGCAGTATTGCTAACTAGGCACAGTGTTCTTCAGTAGACCTCAAGCTTGTTCAGATATATATGTGTGTGTATATATATGTGTATGTGTGTGTGTGTGTATACATATATATATATATCCCTGAAACAAATATATATACCAAAACTTCATACCATTGAACAGCAACCCTGGGAGTATGCTAATTTCTCATCTAACCTGGTAGGGAGTCCATAGACAGCAGCTGAAGTTGATATTTCCTGAAATAGATCCTTAAGTGTTCCTTTTAAGGTCACAAAAGTAACCATGAGAATAACTAAAAATAATAACATAGCTAAGAAAAATCAAGGGAGGGAGGAAGGGGGACAGGGTTGTAGATGGTAGGACTAAATCCTCATCTTTCATGCCAGAAAGTCAAGGGAAATTGTCTCGGGCTGACAAAGCAAGCACTAGACCCATAAAATTATTATGTGTGTCTGCAGTGGACAAAATAAGAAAGCCTAAAATCAGAAGAAAATTATTTCCTTTGAAGAGAGGGAGACAGCACAGGAAACGTTAAGGCCTTGTTTTATAACTTTCTGGATGGTTTGAATTTTTCAATGTGAGCTTTCTGCTTTTGTAAGCGGAATCTGGTGTGAAGGAGTCTGGTTGCCGCTGTCAGGGCCTGACTATGGCAGGTCAGGGTCAGCGGGGCCAGGCCCCACCCTAGCCCCCCTACACACAGTCTCTGGCACCCATGAGCCGTGAGACTTTCTCTTTAGGTCTGGAAGTACATATGCCCATGGAGACATCTATTTACAGACCTTTCAAAGAAAATTGCAAGTACAGTACAGACATTTAAAAACAGCATGATTATATATATTTTGCAGTATTAAAATAACTGGAAGTGATTTGCATCATGTGATTTTTCAGTTTTACGTCCAACGAGTATCCTTCAGTTCAACATAGATACCAATGCTACATTTGTCATTTAAAATGGAATATTCTATATCATGGGAGGTCCCTGGAGCCTGTGCCCATGGCTCTGGTGAGCACAGGAGCCCCTTGGGTATATGGAGGAGGGAGGTCAGCCCCCACATTCCTGCCCTCGCTGGGAAGTGTTAAAAGATAAACTGAGGCAGATTACAAATCTTAAGATTATATTTGGGCTGGGGAATTCTCTGTTGGTCCAGTGGTTAGGGCTCCATGCTTCCATTGCAAAGGGTGCCAGTTTGGTCCCTGGTTGGGGAACTAGGATCCTGAATGCCACTGGATTCACTGGAATGGGACAACCTCCAACAGGAAGTGGTAGAGTGCCCCACCCCCAGGAGCTGGAGAAAGTATAGAGAAAAAGTGTAGAAACAAAGGGGGTTGTTGATTGGTGGGGCTTAAAGCCCCTAACCTTGATGCATTCACAGGCTTAGGTTTGGGTTTACTTGCTTAGGCACCATGCATTAGACCCCCCGGCCAAGTGAACTTCTTGCTTAATTAATTTAAAACCTTGAGGAGGGAGTGGGTATCACAAGGGAATAGCCTGATATCCAGTGTGGAGCAGCATATGACATCAGTGTTAGATATTTTTCAGAGTTTGTACTTCTAGTGGCCTGAACTAAGACCAGAAACTTCTCTGTGAAAGCTAATAAATGCATTTCCAGGATGGGAGTTCACTTCAACTCTTCCTGTCTTAAGCTTCTGCTCCCTGGACCTTACTCTCAAAGCCAAGATGCCCCATAGTCGTCCATCCCAGAGAGAGCAAGGTGTGTGGTCCTTGCCTGGTGGGCACTGCTCTGGTCCCTGATTCCCCCTGGGATGATGACTCCTCTCCTGGCACAAGAGACCAAGTGGAACATTCCAGAAGACCACTCCCCTGCTTGTCGTTCTCAGGCACTCACAGGTCCTTGGCTCTGATAAGCAGAGGAGACCCTCAGACATGTGGAAGACAGAGGTCAGCCCTCTCCCAATCCCTGCCCTGCTCACCCCAGGAGGATTCCTTTTCAGCAAGTGCCACCCTTATCCTGGAGGTCTCCTGGTGTCACCATAGAGAAGCTTCATCTGTTCTTGAACTTTTGTAATGTCAACTTTAAAAAAATGCACAGCATGAGAATTGCAAGTCAGGTTTTTATCTGAGGCATAATGAGGACTGCGACCCAGATAGAGCACCTCAGATACTTCTGAGAAACTGCTCCAAGGAGGTAGTGGGGGAAGACAGTATATATGTGATTTTGGTGAAGGGGGAGTACAGGCAATCAAGCACTTATTTATTTTGTAGGAAGTTTCTGCTTATCTCATGAAGTTTCTGCTAGTCTCAAGAAACAGTCGCCACCATGAAGGATTCTAGTGCTTTTCTAGATATGAGGAGATAAAAGAGATCAGCTCCTGAGAATATCTAACTATCTTGTCCTGCCGGTTTTCCCAGAGCCCAAAGCGTTGAGGTGGTTTAAACACATATTGGAAAAGAAATTCCAGACACAGAGCATTTCAGAAGGGAGTGAGTTTATTAAGAGTAAAGAGCAGAGATAATGTGGGCCCTGTGAGTGTAGCGGGCCAACCTCCTGACAGATCTGGGAGAGTTGACAGCTTTCATGAGTTAATAGCCAATTTTTATAGCCTCAAGACAAAGAAAATGCCTGCTGGAAGGTTGGCATCAGGTGATTGGCTAGGGTGCTGTAGGGTGGGTAACAGGATGGGCACTTTTGCCTAATTTGGAGTCAGGAAGGCTGCTGGTGGTGATCAGAGGGGTTTTGGGCAAATTACAAAGAGGGTTCAGGCAGTTCCAGAGAGGACCTTGTTTCTGGGCTTTGCTTATATGGTCTTGGGGCAGTACTCAAAAGAGTGCCTTGTTTCTGCTCTCCACTCTGAACTCCTTCCAGGGGTGTGGAAGGTCAGCAGCTACAGCAGCACATGACTTAATCCTTGTAGAAGTAGATGGCAGGTGCCCATGGCAAGTGCCAATCTGTAGTTGATGGTAAACAGAATTGTATTTACGTTTTCCTCTGTGCCTTGGGAGGCTTCTTGCTCAACAATACTTTTGACACTCATCCAGGTTATTGCATATTTGGTAGTTCCTTCCTTTCCATCCCAAAGTAGCGTTGCATTGTGTGATGTACAATTAGTTGGAAGTACGAAGATCAACAGTATTAAGGATGGGGAGCAGCTGCTTTACATTTTTAAAGTTCACTTATTTTTACTTGACATTTTAAAAAAACCAGTGGAGTTTGCTTCTTTGAACAGTTTTGGGTTTGCAGAAACATTGAGTAGAGAGTACAGAGAGCTCCTGTGCAGCCCCTCCCCTGACTCCATTTACCCTGTTATTCACACCTTGCATTAATGTGGTACATTTGTTACAATTAATGAACCTACACTGACTCATCATAATTGCTCAAAGTCCATAATCTACATGAGGGCTCACTCTTGGTGTCCTACTTGCTCTGGGTTTGAACAAATGTATGTTAACACGTATCCATCATCACAGAAAGTTTCACTGCCCTAAAAATTCTCTGTGCTCTGTCTGTTCATTCCTACCCTGAAACCTTGGCACTGGTCCTTATACTGTTCCCATAGCTTTGCCTTCCTGCAATGTCCTATAGTTGGAATTCTGCAATATGTGAGGAATTGGCTGTGTTTGCATCTGGAAGAAAGGGGCTGTCAGGGCGAGGCTGGGAGGAGGGTAGGGGAGGGACACAGTAGGGCCTGGGACCTGCCTGACCCCCTCTTTTCTTCCACCAGGTCTTGCCAAGCCCATTGGTCTGGTGGAGGGGCCAGGAGGCCTGGGCCAGGGCGGCATGGCAGCCACGCTGTGGGATGACAGCCAGGAGACGGAAGGCAAGTTCGAGGAATACGGGTACAACGCACAGCTCAGCGACCGCATCTCCCTGGACCGTACCATCCCGGACTACAGGCCCAAAAAGTGAGTAGGTGCCCCCCTCCCACAGGCACCTCCAGGCAGCAGCCCCGCAGGCCCAGGCTCCTGGCACCCAGACATTCACAGGGCACAGCGGTGGAGGGAAGGGCGCCCAGGCCGGCAGGGCCCTCCCCATCTGCCTTCTCCGGGTTCTCTGCCCTCGGCGTCCTGCCCCCTGTGCCCGGGGTGTCCTCTGCAGGTGCCCACCACAGGACTGAGTCTGGACCTGCCCAGGGAGCTGGGCCTCACCAGCTGATGCTCCAGGGGCCACCACTTTAGATGACACAGGTGACAAGTGACACAAGCTTGAAGCATCGGACTCTGCCAAGTGTATTTATCCTCCCTGCTTTTGGTCCAGGAACTGTGACGGTGGGTGGAGAGTCTGCCTGAAGCGAGCCTTGCCTCTGTCTAAAAGATATTCCCATGACTGTCAGTTGCCTCTAAACCCCAGGCCCACTGATCCCCAAAGCCACAGCAGTTGAGTCAGAAAAGTCAGACCCACAGATGGCTGTGGCCTTGCCTTCCGGCCCCTTGACTGATTCCTGGTCTCAGACCACTGCATCCTGTACTGAAGCTCACTAGGTCCTTTGGCAGAGGCAAGATTGGAACAAAATGCCATACTGAGTGGACCTCATTGCTTTAATAAATCAGCCAAGCATGGTGCCTGAGCACTGGGCATGAATGAAGAGTTTGGCCAGACTCCTTGCTGTGGCTCCAGCCACAGCTGGGAACCTAGAACAAGCAAAACACTTTCAGCCACACCTTTCCAGCAGAGAACGGAGTTTAGGCCTAGGCTGGGCTGAGCAGCCGTGTAGTCATAGTTGATACTCTGGGTCCTGAGTTGGTGACAGGCGGTGCCTTGGCCTCTGAAGCAGTCTTTCAGGAAAGGCAGATGTGGGGTGGGAGTGTGTCTACTTTTAGCTCCTGTCTTGGTTTACCCCTCTTCCTGCTGTGGCCTCTGAGACAGGACACTGGTTTGTAAAGTGGTCCCAGAAGCTCTTTCCAGATGGCTCAGTGGTAAAGAGTCTGCCTGCCAATGACGGAAATGCAGGAGACATGAGTTTTATCTCAGGAAGATCCCCTGGAGAAGGAAATGACAATCCACTCCAGTATTCTTGCCTGGGAAATCCCATGGACAGAGGAGCCTAGCAGGCAACATTCCACTGGTTTGCAGAGTCTGATGACTTAGCAACTAAGCACAAAAACACACCCAGAAGCCCTGGGAGGGAATGGGAAGGCTGACACGGAAGGGCTGGACCCTGACAGGGTGCATCATTGTTGTGGGTTCAGGTGGACGGTGGTAGATCCACTGGGGATGGGGGCAGCTATAGAGTTGGCCTCGGGGTTACCCCAGCCCAGGGAGGACCGGGGAGCAGTTCTCACAGTCTCCTCATTCATCCAAACTTGAGGGCTTGCTGCAGGGGCAGTGAGGTGAGATGCCCAGAGACCAGTTTCTGGGGTGCGTGGAGCAGGGCTGGTGTGAGCACACAGCTGCAACAGGGAGTGCTGGGGCCTAGGACATGGTAACCAGCCTGTCTGCCCCATTCTGATTCCATGTACTCCACCCTGTCCCTTAGATGTGCTGGTGTGTTTCCTGGACTGCTTGGAGCCACAGGGTGGGAGGTTAGGCGCTCTTGTGACTCCATCCCTAAGAAATTACCCTTCTGTCCCCGTTACAGTCAGAGAGCCTAGAGGGGGCAGCTGCCACCTGCTCCACCACGCGCTGCAGGTGACGGTGCTATTTTATTTTCATCACATTTATTTTCATGGTTACCACTGAAATAGCACAAGTAGTGCCTCTCTCTATTTGCAGGGATGACACAAAGGTCCTCTTTTGAATAAAAAGTGCATTTAGGTGTAAAAAGACCAATTTGGAGAAACATCCTAAGTAAGTAATAAGGCAGGGGGTGACGAGATTGACGGCAGACAGGCATGGACCTGAACAAGTCAGGTTTGGGAAGCGCCAGTCTGTGCTCTGAGGGTGCGTGAGCGCGCGCATGTGCACGCGCAAGAACGTGTGTGAGTGCGCATGTGTTCCAGTGTGCGTCAATTTCTGAAAGCCACCGCCCCCCACCCACCCCCCACGCCCTTCAATTGTGTCCTGACTTTTGGAGAATGACCCCAGTTATTCAGTCAGCAGAGTCAGCACAGCTGCTGGAATTTAGCACCCTTCTTGGCTCCGAGCCCCTGGGCAGCCATGGTGCCATTCGGAGGACCCCCAAGGCCAGCTTCAATAACTCGCTAAAGGACTCGCAGGGCTCCGCAGAGCTGTTACACATGTGGTGCAGCTTGTTGTCACTGAAGGACAACAGGGAGGAGTCCCAGATGCCCGTCAGAGCCCTGGGGACAGTGCCAGATTCTCCCCGCAGCGAGGTGTTAGCGCACGGCGACGTATTGCCACCACGGGCGCCCTTGAGCCTTGGTGTCTGGATTTTTACTAGCTGACCTCAGTGTCCAAGCTCCTGCAGAGGTCAAGCTGAGGCCCCGCAGGAACTTGCTTGCAGCGAAGATTCATTCCCCTGTGAGGCTCCAGGCCTCTCATCAGTCAGGGTGTTCCAAGGGCTCAGAGGTCACCTCCCAGGAGGTACAGGGCGTGGACAAGCCAGACTCCCTCCTGTGACCTCTCCCCGTGCACGTGGTCCTAGTGGGGACCCCTCATCTGACTTGGCTCAGAGGTGGCGCCATGCTCCACCTCCCTGCGTCACATGGCATATCGGGTCACAGGACCCCGTCCCTGTGACTCCAGGGGACTTGCAGCCATTGGGCGTGGGTCAGAGATAGTAGGAGAGTGTTCCTTCTCCTGGGCATCTCTTCCTTTAAATCACAGCATTCGTTGTCGTGACTGAAGAAAGCCCTTTCTTACCCTGTTTCCCAGTTACCACATCCTTCCTGTGGTTCTGTGGAACCTTCTAGAACCCTTCCACGCTGCCTTCCACGATGCCAATAGGCATCGGGCTTGTGTCTAGTCACAAAGAAGTTACGGCGGTACTGAAGCCTCTATGATCCCCGATTCCCCCAGGGCCTGCTTTCCAAGGGGTCCCAGCCCTCAGGGCTCAGGGTGACTGGACCTCTGGCGTTCCAGAACCCCAGCCCTGGGCCAAGGGCAGGGGTCTCCCAATGATCTTGCCACCTCTCCAAACACCAGAGCAGGGGCAGTTATAGAACAGATGAGAATCTGCCTGTAACAGACTTGTCCTTTGCCTCCTCCAAATCCACTTCTCTTTCTTTCAATGTGGGGCTCAATGTGGGGACCAATGGAAACGTCCTACTCCTGCTGGAGTTGGTCACATGACCCAGGGCTAAGCCAATCAAGAGCTTCTGGTCAACCGGCCACAGTGATTGGATCAGGAAGATCACACGGTCTAGACCAGTTGAGAGTGCGTCTTGGCCATGAGGGAGAAGTCAGGCTTCTCCCGACAAAGTAAAACTGCAAGTTTAGGAGCCTGGTGAGCTACACCATATTATCAACAGGAAGGAAGAGCTTGAGCTCCCAGGGCTCACCTGCGAAACCCAAGAAAAAAATCCAGTGCAGGGCATGGCAGAGCTGGGAGGTGGGGAGGAACTGGGTTCTAGCGTCATACTATGAGCACCTGGATCCAGCTGTCCCTGAATCCACTTGCAATAAATTACAAAAAAAAAAAAAAAAAATCCTCTAGACTCTGCAGTAAATTAAAATATGCACACATTCATTGTTGTTGTTTTAGTTACTAAGTCAAGTCCAAGTTTTTGCAACCCCAGGCTCCTCTGTCCCTGGGATTTCCCAGGCAATAATACTGGAGTGGGTTGCCATTTCCCTCTCGAGGGTAGTCTTCCTGGCTCAGAGATCGAATCCACATCTCCTGCTTGGCAGTTGGATTCTTTACACCTACACGTGTATATTTAAATTTTTTGCTTAAGCAAATTTGCATTGGCCTTTCTGCTTTTTAAGTGGAAAGTGCTCCCCCTGATGTGTGTGGTGTGTCACTGCACACCCTCCTGTCCTCGGAAGCACCTCCTGGGTCTTGCTGGGCCTGGGATTTGCTTGAGTAGCAGGAGCAATTCTGACTTTCCCTTTGAGGATTCAGACCCTCCCTCCCCTCACAGAGCAGGCAGGCCACCTGTGAGGAACCTCAGTCTGCCAAAATAAAAACTGACAGAGCGATCAATCCCAGTTGTCATTCTCACGTTACAAAAGAAGACATCAGGGCGAACTTTGAAAGAGCTGACATTTACAATCCACCTTAATTGACAGAAGCCTGATTTACAGAAACTGATCTGCAGGGGCAGAGCTCTCTGCCTCCCTGAATTAGAGAATGTGGATTTTATTTAGTTACCTGTTTGTTTGTATACCAATTCTTCTCCCAAAAAAGAAATGAGAAGTTTTGGCCCCAAGCGCCCCTATCCCCCTGGGCAGTGTGGCTGGGGAACTAGAAATAAAAAGAGGCCTCCCCATGCCCCTCCCTCATGTCCCCCCCCATACCCTTCCCCCAACCCCTCCTGCCCCGTACACTCTACCCTGAGCCTCTCTGGAGCTTATTGCTTCCAGTCACTCAGCCCAGAGCTTCCCTCTATGTTCAATAGACTGCATCTAGGGGATTATTCAAGGCATCGTGAGAGCATTGCATAAAACATGAGCCCCAGTTTGCTGAGTTGGTAAGACTTAAAACCCAATTTAAAATGACTTAAGGGGAAAAAAAAAGTAATTTATTGGCTCAAGCACTGAACGGTAGGCTTTCAGGTGTGGCTTGATCTAGGGGATGCTGCTGTTAGCCATCAGCTCTGCCTGCCTTCAGGTCAGCCCCAGGAACTGGAAACTGATGGCATCCTCAGGTGGGATGTAGGCAGAATCTAGGAAACCTATGAGGCGTGTTGAGGCATCAGAGAGGACAGCAATAAGTGCTTAATAAAATGCAGTATCCTTGTGCCTTATGTTCTGCAGTAGGGTGGGGGAGTGTCAGAAAATCTTTTCTGAAAAAGGCCACGTGTTAAAAATAAACCCCTCACTGTTTACTCTCACAATGATACCA